TTATGTTTATTGTAGAATTCCTTATCGTGAATTAAATTAAGTTCACGTGATATTTATTAAACTTATAATAAAGATATATATAAGCATATCGTCACCTTAATGCAGCAGTTAACCCGTTACTTCACTAAGCTGATAATGTGTTATTATTCATTTTAAAGTTTGCTGATATTACGAAAAGAAGAATTTTCAAACTGAAGTAATGATTTATACGAGGTTAGCAACTTGGTCCGTATTCTAACGTGATTTAATAACCAGTCCTAGCGCGATATTACATTACACTTTGTTTGCATATACTGGCATGAAACTATGAAAACAATAATCTGTTAATGGAGGAAAATAAATTATGAATAAGGTTCGAACGTAAAGCTTAAAAAGAAATTGATTTTGCAAAATTGAAATGTGAAGCAGTTACACATAGTTTAATATCATAGCACTTTCACTAATTGAATTTGAAATAATATCGATTTTAACGTAAAACAAATGTCACCTGGATGGATTGTACTATTCAAATCGTATTTTAATTATACACGTTGTAAGTCCAAAGAAATTTCATAAAGTGATATTATGGTCATTTTTCGCTGTCAAGCTGAGTTTAGTCAGAACTGCTGTATCATTTTTAAGAATTGAGAATTATCGATTCATTCAGAACAATATCATTTATAGAAATTTGCGTGGGTCACATGGATTATTTTTTTCAAAGTAAAATTTAATATTTAACACAATTATGATAAAATGTCAAATTATTTTTATTTTTACCTGTTCAGGATACACATAATGCCACTTTAAATCTATAAAAAGGAATACTGATAAATTTCAATGCTCTGTTCATTGAATAACCTATTACAGTAAACTTCACTTATAGCGAACACGGATATAGCGAACTTCCGGTTATAAGGAACATTTTTGGCCAGAATTTTGCCCTTCTTTATTTCAAGCCACTGACCTCCAGGATCCGGTTGTTCAAAAACATTGATTAGTGTTAACCAGTGGTTAAATTCATTATCCGCTGGTTAAATTTTGTCTGTTGGATAAATTATGTTACTCAAAACTTTTCCAACGGATAAAATGCGTTATCCAGCGGTTAATCTTTACCAGTCCTATGACCACCGGATAATGCCCTAAACCAGTGGTTAGTCATCATCATTAAAACAGTAAAACTCATTAAAACTTGTTTAAAACAAGATTTTTGTTGCAAATATATGTTTATGTTTCTTAACTAGAACATTTCATATAAAATGCATAGGATTAAATTGAAACATTCTGAAAAGGTGCTTTTAGAACCCTTTTTCAATCTAAATTTGTTGTTGTTGTAGTTCAGAAAATTCAGTTAAACAGTCATAACTTTCTTATTCTTTAATAAAACATACAAGTGTCAATACTCATTTTTTTAGTTAGAACATTACTCATCTAATGGAAGTAATTTCAATTCAAAATTTGGAAAAAAGTTGTTTTTGATTTTTTTCTTATGTGTGTCTAAGGGAAAAATAAATATATCAATACTTTAAGGCATCTGATATACTTTTTGTTTGATTCCAAAAACAAGAAAGCACAAAACATGCAAAATTACTTTTTGGGAGCTTTTTGATTCTAATAAATTTATTATTCATAAAAAAATCGGCCATTTTGTTTCCAGAATCACTAACCAGCCCTGTTGCATTGTGGTACTTAACCAGTGGATAAATACGCTATCCACTGGTTAGGTAGCCAGTGTACTATCCAACTGTCGAACAATGAAATTTTATCTACTGGATAGCTGACCGCTGGTTAAGGATTTAGCCAGTGGATAAGCTATCCATTGGTTAATTTTAACCAATGTTTTAAACAACCCGGTCCAGATGGTAAAATGAAAAAAATGAAATAAAATTTCAAGTAAATGGTAAATACTGGTTTATAGTTTAAATTTATCATTACTGACACCTTAATTCAAGAAAGAATGTTGACAAAGGCGTTAATATATCGAGTTTTCTTTTCCATAATCTACTACGTTACTAACGCAGTAGCCAATATAAATAGGAGAAGATAATTCATTTAACGCGGTCACGTGTCCCAACAGTGATCCGGAAAAATCCCGGTATCCGTTATGCCCGGAATCGTTTATAAATTTTCGTCATTAAGTAGGCCCCTATCACATTTCAAGCTAAAGGTTAAATTGATAAATTGGTCATCATATATATGAAATAATTAATCAATTATAATTTTTAGTGCCATGAATTACTACAAATATAAAAACAAAAGCAGTTATTCGTATCCCTATATGTTTGAAAAAAATGCCGGATTCCGTGCGTTCCGATATTGTCCTGAACGATCACGTGATACTAGAAAAAAAACCCGGAAGAAAGAATTCCGTGGTATAATAAAAGAAGGTATTTCCCGTTGGTGGAAAAGCGAACTGTTTGTTTTCAGAGCAATAGTGTTAAAATATGAACATTTTGAAGTGTTCTTTTCGATTACTTTCAACTATATAATGTCTTTGAGGGGGGGGGGGGGGGGGGTGAAATATTAGCAAGCCGGCAGTTTTTTTGCTTTCCTCTGGAGATCAGCTGCTTTAATATAAAATTAAACTGTTAACGCGAACATGGTTATAAGAAATTGTCGCTTATAAGGAACTCATTTCTTAGTCCAAATTTAGTTAAAAGTACAGGAAATTACACTTTTATAACGAACTCCAAAATATCGGTTATCCGTAAAGATCTTAGATCTTGCATTTTCAACTTTCATTTTCATTGGCACAGATAAAATCTTAATAGTTTTCCTTTTAGGATATATTTAGCACCAAGATAAAACGGTTATTCCTTTTATTCTATTATTTCTTTTCTTTAATAGTTTTTCTCGAGTAAAATAATTATGATCATTAATAATCGGTTATCAACATAATCACACATGCTTGCTAACCAGTCGGAAACTACAAAGTACGCTTGACTAAAATAAGTTTTCATTTAATTAAATTATATTTCACATATTATATTATTGTCAAGTTTGTGTAAGTCCACAACAATTTAGCAATAAATGCGTTTTTCCTATGATAAGTGTATAGATAACATTGTATGGGTACATGTAACATTGTATGGGTATATGAAAATAAAAACTTTTTTATTTTACGCTGACCAGTGAGATACTGGGTCTTATCCGTGTACCGTGTAATCAAATCAATATCACCAACAGTATGTCAATAATTTTTTTATGATTTGTATATTAACATAAAACAAGTGATGGTTGTGATATAAATTGCATATTTTCGATTTAAATATTATTAATTTGTTAGAAGTTACTCTGCACCAATGATAACGAACTTGAATAAATTTCGTGTGTGCATCGTCGGTGTAGCTGTTGAACGTCTTTTTTTACATTAGAATAAAAGCATATCTATATATGTGAACAGATATAACTAAGGAACAATGGGAATCACTGGAAATATTCCTTGTGCACATTATCGATCAAAATTATCGTACATTTTCATATACATGTACTTGTCACGTGACTCATTAGAACCCACTCTCGAAAGTAATTCCATTTAGTTATCAAACAACAGCCAGTACATGAAATTAATCTGTTATTTGATACAGTTTACACATCACTTTGATATTTGATAATTAGAGTCATGGGAAATATCGTCGCATCGTCATCTTTTCTGTCATGATTGAATAAAAATATCGCAATAACCGTCCGATGTTTCCATTTAAAAACAAGATGTATAAAATGTTATGAAACGCAGTTGTTCTTATATAAATCAACAATCAGTTTGGAATCAAACTCAGATTTACAGAAATAATGAAATGTTATTATTATTTAATGTATTATTATGAATGCAAATTATTCATTCTTCATTATTGTATATCTTCAGCAATTTATTTTCACAATTATGTTTAAAATATTGTCGGAACAAACATTTTCGATAATTGCGTTTTAAAAAAATAATCCTCATTCAATTGTTTATGTTCTAAGGCATCATTCGTTATCCATAATGTCATAGTAAATTGTTTATGTATTCTACTTTAAAGTATTGATAATTTGTAACTGATAATTGTTTTATTATATTTCAAAATAAGATGATTATATTTGAGAAAAAAATGACCTTATTAAAGCGAAGCAACATCGAGTCATAGTAGAACATAATGTCATAGTAAATTGTTTATGTATTCTACTTTAAAGTATTGATAATCTGTAACTGATAATTGCCTTGTTTTATTATACATGTACTAGGTTATCTTCTAAAATAAGTCGTCAAATAAACACTACTGTGTACTTGTTTATTTTTTTTTTATTTGTACCTGAAATATTTACGAACCGGAGCAAGATTATAATTTTGTATTTGATCTATCAAATTTACAAAAAATCACTTATTTTCAGAATACTATGTTGTTCCTATATCACAAATATGAATCACTAGGCCATTTAGTCACAGCAAAGGATTAAGGACCAGTGTCATGATCATGTTGCCTTAGTATATTTGAAAATACTAAAATCAGTTAAAAATTATAGGTTTTACACTGTGCGGGTTTCTGTTTAAGCAAACGCTAGAGGGTGAACGTCAGAAGCCTTGCAATTACCACTACCGCTATTAACAGCTCAGTCTACCGCATGTTCAATTTATATGGTTTTGGGCGTTCTGTAGGAATTCTACTTAAATTCCCCTTTCTGAATGATTTACATATATTCATAAAGATCATAAAATTAAAAACAAAATCAGACTTAACTACGTTTCAAAATATGTACATTGATCTAAATAATGACTCAAATGTTAACATGTGTCTTATGTTGATCCTGTTGTTGCTGTTTGTAATTGTATTCCAATATTCCTCTCAAAATAAAAGGTTTTTTTTTTAATGGGTAATTGTCTATAGTATCCGTTCGTCATGTAATATATATATTTTCATATTTGCTTTGATTGACATATTCAAAGGTATTTCGTATTGAATATGCAAATCAAAACTTTTAAAATTGTTCCAATATACTTTTATCTTTTTTTAAGGCAAGATCATTAAAAAAATCATAAGAAAACATCATTTGATACATTTTAATGTAATCAAAATATAGTTCCTGAAAAAGAATAAATGAATATATACACAAATATTTACATTTTATACAAGCATATAATTGAAATGAAGAGATTTTTTATAAGAATTCTATCCTGTTCCTTACAAACAATAAAAACAAAGATTTTTTATATAAAGATAAAAGATAGCCCCAACAGACAAGGACAGGTCGAACCGTGTGATGCTCCCCGAAGTGGTTTTGAACACATGGATATAGTTTCGTGTTAATATCTCTTGTAGTTTCAGTGTTATGTCCCGGTCGAAGTTCAAAATGTAAAAATAAAAAATTTAAAACTCCAAAATTAGTCAAGGCTACTGTTTTTATGCAGTGCACTTCTTCACAATGAGATTAAGTTTCTACTCAGTTTCTTATTGATGCCTCTTGTGCTTGCAGACTTATGTCTTGGACAATTTTTAAAGTGTAAAAATTAAAAAAGACAATAACTCAAAATTAAGCAAACAGTGTACTGCTCTTCTACTAAATGAGATCAATCTACCTACATAGTTTTTTATATCCTCTTTTAGTTTCAGAGTAATATCCCGGACAAGAAAATGCGGACGGACAAAGCGGCTACTATATGCTCTCCCTTCGAGGAGCATAAAAAATGCTTCAATTCCTTTTTATAACCAAGATATTGAACAAAATGAGCAGGATAAAACATCAAAAGAATCCAAAGCATTGTGGCTGTTTACTAGTACCTATTAAGTTTATTTATAATAATATGACTTGAATATTAAAAATGTGTTCATCATTTTCAAAAGGTAGATATTTGCCATACTATGAAATAACAATAGACATGTTGATTAAAGTAGTAAAAACAATTTCAGCACCACTATTTAAATGTTGACTGCCTTTTATCAATTATGCAAAAGAAAATCTTTTTTTAATTCGCAATAAAATTTAAAATATTATATAGCTGCATTGAAATTTCGTAGAAATGTTTACTTTTGAGGTTAATGTAGTGGAAACCATGGACTGATATTTAGGTTATGCTTGTTTGTGTCCATTTGTTCAAATAGCCATTACCTCATTTGAAGACACATAATATGCATGAATAGGCTTCTAAGTTATTGTTTGTGCTGACGTCTCAGATTAGCAACTTACACATGCTTTTGAAATAACTCCTTACTTTAAACTCTATTTTTCTATTTCATGTGATTAGTTATTAATAATAAATGAAGATTAGAATGAGACTCGAATGGACCAGTTTATAGAAAACAACGCATAAAAGAAGGCAAACATTGCAGTTGCTTTCCGAATAAATACTGCTAAAGGGAATAAATTACAGTTACTATACATCAATGCAACAAGCAAAAGCTGTTTTTCCTTTAGAAATTAGACACTTGTAGATGTTGATGGTACTTGATTGTACTCTGGCTTCAATGACTTTAGTTCAATTTGTGAGCGTTTCCTTCGCAGTCGGGACATGCAATCATTAAAAGCATCTTTCAAAGAATCTCGAAATACGTTACATCGGGTTATGAGCACAAAGAAAACACACAGATAACATATCCATGAAATGTAGGATGCGAACTCCATAAGGAGTGTAAGTCGATTCCCATTTTCCATGTCTATGATATGCATAAAGTGTAAGATGTTCGATGGCATGGCGCATGTAAAAACAGTAATTGAAATGATCATTACAGTGTATGTAACATCCATCTCATTTTTAGATATATCCGGAATCTGTCTGCCGTGATGTTTAAGGCAAAATCGTATTATCATTAAATTCCCGAAAGTAAACAGTAATATTAAAGGCAAACATCCTAACAAGAAACCTGACGTCCACAACCAAAGTTGATTGAAGTAGTCATCCCTTACAAAATAACAGTCCTGATTTGGCGACATATCGTACATCCAAAGAGAGTGTATGCTTACAGCAGTTAAACCTATCATAATAAAAACGACTGCGTTTTTTGCCATGAACACTGTACATAAACACTGTGCTCTTTTAGGTGTCCAAAGAATAAACACTCTGTCCACTGCTGCACCTGTTATGAACCAGAATCCAGAAAATGTAACAATACAAGTCAAGAACGACCAAATTCGACAGCTTATTTGAGACATTCTACTAAAGTGGCGTAATTCTGCTTTGTCAAGAACCCAGTTCAGCTTTATCAGGAGTGTCCACGTGAGCATTGCAGCCAAACTATACGCCTTAAGGTAAACTGACACTGAGATATTGTTGATCGGTGGTCTTAGCAGTACAATGAATGTCAATAGGTTGCAGATAATTCCAATAGGAACAAAAATCGGACAAATATAGTTGTAAATGAATTCCGAAACTGGATGCGAAGGATGAACATGATCTAAAATAAATGTAATATTTGATTCATTTGAATAATTATGATACATCAAATATGTTTGATTTTCCATTTTCTTTGATGTACGGTATTGCTTAAGAACACTAAACACAAGGCACTTTGAAACTATGCAGATACATTCGCTATATATCTAGCTGTTCACTAGCCTATTTATAAAATAAACTCATTTAAACAAAATTATTGTATTTTAATCAAATTGTAATCAAATTAACTTTTTTGGCCAATTTCTGTTCTTACAATATTGCTTTTTAATGAGTGCACTTTTGTTTGATGACTTGTCACGCCAACGTCGACTTTTAGTTGGAGCTGAAAAGAAAAAAGAATCATTTTAAATTCAGTGTCATTCTCTCACGTATTAAGTTTAAAGTTTTAATGTTGATTATAGCTACGAGTATCAAACTCGAACAAGATATAATCATTGTAACAATTTATGTAGCCGTAGTATACTTAAATCAGTTTGCAAATAAATATCAAACAGACTAGCTATTTTATTCATATAGTTGACATACTTGCATAGTTGAAATAAAACAACTAAAAAACATTAATACATTTTGCTATTTGACAAAAAATTCATTTTCTCTTATGCAAGTTGCTATTTGATCTTTTTCTTTAAAACATTCCGAATCTTCTTTACAATAACAATGATTCTGATTTCCTGTAATTTATATCCTTACACAATATCAGAAAATGAGTAACTAATGCTTATTATGAAAAAAATCTTCTTATCATACAAACAGCAATTTTACTACATCATCAGATGTTTCGATAAATCAGTCTTTTTTAAAAAAGCAGTGATTATGAAAATGGTTTTTATATTGTCTTAATGCTTTGTAGAAGATTCGATATCTTAAAAACTTAGAAAAATGTCAACCTTTATGTAAAATCAGTGACCGATATCGTTCTTATATTAGATGGATTAGTGTACGTTTACAGCATCATGCATAAACGTAAACCTTTTGAAATGCTTGTCTGAAAGGAAATAGCAATAAAGATGAATTTGCGTTATTATATCCGCACAGGTCGCTTGACATGGCAGCAATTAAAATTCTACAGAAATTATTCGAAGGAACTTGTCAATAAACGGCGTGCTTCCGTTTATTGAGGGAATAATCAACAAAAGCAATGTTTAACAGTGCAATAGGGATAAAAATATATAGCTTTAAAATATCTTAAGAGCAGATCAAACGTCGGTTCAAACCCATTCAAAAGTTAAAACAAGTGATTCATATGCAACAGTTTTCTTTGTTGAAGTTTGTACTTTTCTGTTTATATTTTAAGTGCACACGAGACCACTTTTGCAACATTGTAAGATACGGGTAACTAGTTTCTGAGAAAACAACTCTTTTTTTAATACAAAAAAGCCTTTTTGTTGTATTTATATTTTACTTGGCAAAGCATAGATGATGTAAACACGTTCATTGCAAAGCAGATTTTTGTTTCTTGGAAAACAGATATACTCATATATCGATATCGGTGAAACGCAAAGATGATGATTGATATTTAAATAATTTATATCAAAATATAAATACATACATGTAATAAGAACACCAGATTCGGAATAAAATTGATGTTTTTATTGTTACCTAATTAATAGAATTAAATACATTTCTCAGCAAGTTTTTCATTGTCCATTGGTGCTCTAATTTTTATCTGTACTGTGGTATAATATTATGTAGTAGAATTACTAGATTAATATATCAAATTAGTATTCTTGCAAGCAAATTTTCTATTTCTTTAGAGTATCGGCTTTTTAAAAACAAATGTTTGCAATGGTTTTCTATTTGAAAGAGTTTATATTTCTTTTATCAAATCTCTTTTAACAATAAAATACAACTAGTATTAGAACATATCGGAACAATTTCGAGGTACATGTAAATGTAAATACTAGTTTTATATTATTTATTCATGACGTGAAGCAATGCGTGTTATAGCACCATAACTCGACTGATTTGTATCGATTTTCTGTGTAACTTATATATCATAGCAATTATCTGGCTATATTCTACGGGAAAAAAATGAAATTACACATGTATATTATTGTTTCCAAAACAATGCGAACCTCATGATAATGACAGCCTGCGTAGAAACATTTTTCCACATTTCAAAAGCAGATTTGAAAATACTTTCGTAATTACAGGACTCTTACATTCAAAATTAAATGTCAAATAAAGTTCGGTATTTTTAATAATTGTAACAGTATATTGATCAAGAATAATTTAATTGGCTACTTATATATAGTTTAGATGGAAACAAATGTAATCAGTTATCATTAAATTGCATTCAAATAGAATTAATGATGATCATACTACTGTATTTTTGTAATCTACTAATACCAGCAGAACTGATTATTGCTCATTAATGGCATACTGATAAAAATGACATTAAATAGAAAATGAATTCCGCTAAAAAACTAAATTCGATTTGTCATATAACTCTCGGATAACTGATAAACATTAAATTAAGGATTAAGAAATTTCCATTCAAAATATCTTCAGGCATAACAGTGAAAGGTGTGGTATCTATTGTAAGGTTCCAATGTGATTTTCCCCTCAAAACAAACGTGCTAAATAAAATATTCAGGTCGGCTATGAATGTGAATATGAATGGCTGGCTATAGCTTGTTATTTATGTTCCCAGTCCGTTCTCATTGTATTTGTTTAGAAAAAGCGAAGCCTAGGAATTTAACAAGCAAGTTTAAATAAGTTGAGTAATATACAACAACCGACACATTACTTAGCCGTGTTTCTAATGCCAGAAAATGATTGTTATGTCAGAAAATATGTTATAATAGAGACAACGTTTCAGAACTAAATGTGTGTGATGATAAGAAAGGAACAGAACAAATAAAATACTCATCAGTCTAGATTTTTCACATGTTTATTTCCAATATATTCGTATGAAAATATGTATGAAAATATAAAGACATATCATTGTGCCCAACATACTTAACAAGAAAGGAATGAAACTGATTAATCTCACAACAGAAATTATTACACGCATGATAATTTGAACAGGAATGCCTTTTATTGCGGCCTGGTAGAAGTTGAACTAATTAATAGAAAGAGCACCGAAACACGAGGCTATTTGGTTTGTACGAGGGGGCGTAGCCCCCGAGTATTAATCAGATTGCCGAGTGTTTTGGTGTTCTTTCTCTTTTGTATCATAGTCAAACATAAAAACACGTTCCTTGTTGTCGCAATATGAAACCCCAGAAAAAAGTAACCAATGAACGAGCATCTGAATATCATATTTCTGTCGCGTTTCCTTTCTCTGTCGTCACAATAAGTAAACCCCAGCAAAAATGAACCAATCAATTGGCGTGCTCAGGAGTGCGGGTAACTAATACCTGCACTCCAGTTAACGAACTGTGCATGTATATGTATACGATTTAACTCGCATTTTCATCAGAAAGGTCCCCAAACTATGATACAATGTTGAAATAACAGTCAGTTCTAAAATAACAGAATCTTAGGCTATTTGCTATAGATATCTCTTAAAGACTTTCGATATTGGAGAACATATTGAAACAAATCTTTCAAAGCGCATACAAAAATACGATATAGGGAAAAACGAATTTTAAGGGTATACATTAAATGAAACACTAAACAAAATCCGAATTGTATTCATTTCATCTAAAGAATGAAAACATTTACAAGATAAAATTAAACACTATGTGAGACGAACACTTCTGCAACTGAAATATCGTAAAGTATCTTTCATATTTAACTTGTTTTGTATATTGAATTTAGAGGAAATAAAATATCAATCAGATGTCTGCTTTCTTCCCAAATTGTACTTTTATTACAATCTCTTAGACAGCAGGTCATTTATTTAACGTTTGATTGTTACATTACCCAGACCATTTTCCAAATTGACGATGTGCCATTACGTAAGTCAATTTTGTCTATTTGTAAGAAAAAATATCTTCATTTACCAAAATGATATTATTGGAAGAAATATCAAAAAAAAAATCGATTGAATAAGCAAAACAAGCTTTTCTGGCCCCGAATAAGTATAATTGTGGGGGCCATTTTTTAAGTGAATTATATTGAACAATTTGCCTCTATATATTTTTATATTTTAAAATGTATTGAGACTGTTTAGTTTAAAGTCAAGATATTTACACTTGATATTGTACTTTGGATAATTTTACTATTTAATTTTTGGGTAAATTTGATTATAATAAATCAGTTATCAATTAACAGCGGACTTTTGTTGTTTTAACTTACTTTTTAATAACATGCAAATATATAATAAGAAAAATCTTTATTACTTTTGCTTTTTTATTTCTTTTATTTGTACTTGTTTTATGAAGCGTAAGTATTTACTATCTGAATTACCATATCGAACAACAACCCGATGACACTTTCATCACACGAGTTCTTTATCTGTCAGAAAAAAGTTCTAGAATTATTAATTTTTAAAAGTTCTGTCTTATACTTACAAAGTAAACTTTGCATTTATTCATGATCCCTCATGTACAGATTCAGTCTGAAATTTTCATGTAATTTTGTTGTGATTAATGCTCCCGAGGGACCACTTTGTTTCCAGATTTCTTTTCGCAACTTGCGCCAGTTGGAAATTTATAATATTCAGAAATTGTTACAATTTATGTTAAGGCACTTTTGCATATACCATTATTGATATAAGCGTCAAGATAAAACATTATAAAATGTTATTACCTGTGTTGCTTATCCTATCCTTTTCTCAATTATGATATATTTCCGTCACAGTTTTTACTATATCCGTCGTCTACTTGATTTGCCGTTGACTTTACACTTCAAGCTCCTTGTTTTACATAGCAATTGCCTACATAAAATCCAATAGTTTCATTCGTCGACGTCTGTGAGAGGTTTTTGAAATGCTGTAAAATGAATTAAAGTTGAATAAATATATTTTGCAGGATAATCACGATTATTTGACTGGTTAAAACATAGTCATGTTAAAATGTGCGTGAAATGCGTTATTTCTTTTATGATATGATTTTAAACCTGCACTTTGAAAAACAATAAGAAACATTTTAGTCAAACTTAATGTGAACGATTATATTAAACAGATTATCTGTTAAAATAGATCATTACGTTTTGTGTAATTGAATTCATAAAGTAAATCTGACTTTCCAACATTTAAACCAAAGAATTTAAGTATACTTGATATTTATATGCGACTGTCTTTTAATTCATTTAAATGAAACTGAAGTTAATACGGTTTATTTCTTTATCTAGTAAATACTGTTTTAGGAATTAATGCTTAACGCCTTTGTTTTTTTAAACTTGATAACAATATAGTTTTTACAAAATATCTACAATACGATGAAGTCACTACTCTAGAAAGTCTTGAAAATGATAACTTTAATTATCGAGCTTAATTTATTCTTAGTTTGACAATCAGCAGGTGTATTAATGCAAAACTTGTGACAGCATAATTTCCTTGTCTCGGCTTTTGTGACAGTATAAAACCTATAGCTATATGTTTCTTTGTTATATATAGATTTCCATATAACAATATTGCAATATTTGCCGGGATAAAGACATTAATAGCTTCACACTCGTTCACATAAAGCTGTCACTTATATCCACACACAATACATTACAACGTAAACATCAGAATAATTCCAACTGGAAGACTCGTGAACATCATTAATCAGTCTGCCATTTTATTGGTATCTATCAAGGTAGGTGAACATGCAATTTATGACATAATTAATATAAGACCATCTAAAAATTAAAGGGTTGCTACTTAACAAAGTTGAAGACAGATTTATTTTAAACGTCTTAAATATATTCAGGGAGTGACAATACTAATACAATATTTAATGAATAGTGTAACTTAGAAACAATACTAAAACTCTGTTATAATCATTTGTAATTGTTTTGTTTAAGCACAAAATGTATGAGAAACTAGCAATGATGTAAATGTTCTCCGCATTTGTAAGTACTCTTGTACTGTCTTGCTATTAATCTATCAATTTATGCGTTAAAAATAACCTTGGTAAGTCTATTATCAATAGGTTCGTTGTAATGTTGTTAATCCGGCACTAACCTACAGCGTTGGTATTGAATTGTTGTCCCTATTTTGAAAGGAGTAATCAATACAAAAGTTTCACAGAAGAAAATCGTTTAAGATGGACAAGTTCACCTTTATACCTTTATACTTACACAACAATTAATCCTTCTCTAAGATACACGAGGAATCAATCCTGTGCCGCATCAAGTTATTTTTGTAGTCATAAAAATGCAGTTGTTTTATAATGATATAATTGTGTTCATATAAAAATGAACAATTGTAATATACATTCAGTTATTGACAATTAACATTAATCAGTTAATAAAATTAATACAGAACGTTGCCTTGTGAAAACATTAGCTTTTATGGTATCAAATTTAACATGCAAATATTCTAAACAAAATAGCACTTTAAAGGTTCTACAGTATCATAAAACACATTATACTACAAGAAACGTTTCAAATGACAACATATTTGATACAACCGTATCATTTACGTTTGAAAACATGACAGATAGTTTAAATTCTTACGTCCTATCGAAATGATCATATTTGAGCTTTGAAATATTCATTCCATTGTCTGATTCTAATCAAAACGACCATAACTCATAAACGTTCAGGACAATGCCATCACATTAAGTATGACAAAGACTACGAAATATGGGAAATAAAATTAGATATGTTTGAAAAGAAATCATCGTTATTGCGGTAATTCTATATAGCTATTGGAACTGAATTTCAATTTCACTGTTGATTATTTATAAAACTTTTTTCAGAGAAAAGTGATGATTGATTGTGACATATTGATGTGAACGTTATTTTCCATCCATGTGTTGCTATAAATATCGTATTTTACATTGAAAACTGCTGATTAAAATGAATGTTGCATATACATTACTTTGTAACATAATTGTACGATTTGTATCTTTGCGTTTGGTATCATGGGAATATTGGGTTACATTTAACTATATTATATCTAAAAACATCAAAATTGCATTTTAGTAAGATAAAACGTTCAATAAAATGAATAGGCAATTTGTTTTTAATTTGAAAATTAACCCCGCATGGTCTTGTAAAAAAGTCATATGCATGGTAATTGTATGACGTGTACAATTCCGAATTCGAAACCATTGTAATGTGTTGTTGTTAGGAAATGTCAAACAAAGGTTTTAATAAATGTGTTGAAACATACACAATACAAATACACTCTAACAGGTGAAAGCCATGTTCTAATATTTACTGGCATGTCGTTAATGACTTTTTGCAGATAATTTTTGTTTAATTAACTGGCCTATGACAGTGTGTGTCAACACAAACATACACAATTGTACAAACAATAGAAATAAACACAGTCATGTGTTAAAATTACAACGATTTTCCTTTTCATAGTTGTATTATACATGACTGACATGTTATGTATTATTCAACATATTTCCTTATTTAAAAATATCTAAAATCGAATATATTAAGACACTTCACTTGATTTTGTTTTAGCTTTTAAAAATTGCTTTAACTTAAACATACTAGGTATAAATAGAAAATGTATCTCAACATATTTGTTATCTTAATCTTTATTTTAAAATTAAATGAGTCATTTTATGTTTCCTACAAATTATACACTCATTATCTGGTTATACTTCTCAGTCTACAATACTCTACTTATATGACGACACAATTTACCTAGTGTAAGATATTTGTAACTTTTGAATTTTAAAAGGTGAAGAAAAAAAACAACTGAAAATCATAGCAATTTCATTGTATCAACCAGAAATGGTTACACATGATAACAAATGACACGTTAGACGTTACCTCTGTATAAAGTAACGACTTTTTGACAATACATTTCCTTCCACGTTATTATTTTTAAACGAAATCTGTTTCCTTTTTTTGTGATAATGACCAATTATTTACTTAAAGAAAGAAAAGGCATACTTTACGTGTTTCACAACCATTGTTTTTATTGTTTTCCAAGCTTTACTTGTGGTTGAAGAATTCGGGTGCCCCTCTGTGCGTTATTTCAGAAACAAACGGGCACCTGAGTAAAACCACCGATATTCCGTAAGCTAGTTAGAAAGCGTTTATACATGGAGGAATCCGAAGACGGTTGCGCTGCTCGACCTACGGAGGTGAGAGAGTCAATGACCTTAACATCTCGGTCACGGACGCCCACAGTTTGTTTACATGGCATACGTTTTATGATAATATGTTACTAATTGCAAATGGTGTACCAAATATTTACTTACTAGTTTAATTTTGATTCAATAAAAATCACCAATAGTTCAGTTAAAATTTTCTGATAAAAAAGCATTACTAAGTAAAGAATACTAGTACTTAATTTCAATAACAATAAAACGTAGCTATACCTAGCATCAAACATCTTTTTAATTTTCTATGATAATTACTCTATTGTAGCACTATAAAGATCAAATACTTGTCTGATGGTGTGTCGTTGCTATAAAGAAAAATACCAAAAGACTGTAACTGCGTTATCAACTTCTTAAACTATCTGAGAGGGGTGGGGGTGATAAAAGACATTCTAGGGTTTTTAACCGACCATTACCTTTCATAACTACATCAGTATTTATTTGAGTCATTGTCTCAAATAGCTGTTTGACTCTTAATGGAATATCTTATTCCGTATATGATTTTGAAAACCTGAATCTTGTAGAAAATTTTGATATTTATCAAGGTACAGATACATACGATTACAAATACCACAGATCTAACAAAACAATTAAATTACCGACAAGATGATTTTTCCAACTTGATAAAAGAACGTTAATCACATATCAATATATGCTACTTGTTGCTGTTAACGCCATAATTATAAATATTAGCTATAGCTTCAATTATCTGACTTATAGATATTATTATTATTATGATAGTTTATTCACATAAGACGTGTACAAAATGCACATGGTCACAAAATACATACGTTCAAATATAATTAAACATCACGTAATCATCAAAGTTAACATTATTTAGTAGCAAAGTGTCATACAATGATAAAACTACATCTTTGGACTGCATTAACAAAACATGGAGAATGAAAAGAAATTAAGTAATATTACTAACAAGATAACATTTTTATAATTATGTCTGAAGATTCGGTTGATTTAATTCCCTGCGTTTAAATGCTTGTGCTATAAAATTTCCCAAATTTAACAAGACTTTTTTCTTTTTAGAACTTAATAAATCAATAAATTTGTACATGCTCGGATTTTTCACATAATATTTTGGTATGAATTTGTTTCTCAGGTCAGAATATTTTTTGCATGTGATTATAAAATGAAATTCATCTTCTATGTCATTACCGCAGAAATAACATAATCTTTCATTTCTTGGTTTTCGATTACGCCCATGTCTAAGAGATTCTATAAATAAATTATGCGACGACACGCGCAATCTAGTTATGCTATTACGTATTTTAAACGAATTTATTTTAATCAAGTAATCCGATATACCAAAGCTCGGTTTTAAATGTATGTACAAGGATTTCAGTATTTCATTTTTCTCAATATCTCCAAATAGTTTCTGTAAGGCACAATCCGTTACTGTTTTCTTGAACAAATTTACAAATAATTTGAAATTTATGTTTTCATGATTTACAAAAACAGAGCAAAAACCATAATCATCAAGCAGTTTTTTAACATGGAAAACCCAATTCTTTCTACCATTATAATACTGCGCCAATGAATGTGCATAAACTGATTTTAATAGCATATTATCCGTATTGATAATCTTGACCCAGTATTTAATAATATGTATAAAACGAAATACATATAAAGGATAGCGACCCAATTCTGCATATATAGCTGCGTTACTTGTCGATTGTTTTACACCAAGGATTGTTTTGCAA